TTCCTTGCCGTGTCCTGAAAATAATAATTAAGGGGTGAGCACAACGGCTCCGTAAGAGATGCCTAAAGCTAGCATTAGCTTTGGGCTCCCTTGAATCAACATACAAAGAATAGATAAAAGGAGTCGGGATCATACACGGGAATGCCGATAAGCCGAAATCAACTCAAATACACCATTATGCAATGTAATGACATGTTTTCCCGACCATACTCCAGCTCAACTCACACCGAAAACTACTAACTGGCTTTACCGAGGTGAGATTGATTACTATTCTTAGCCTCAAATCCGATGACTATTTGGGGCATAGTAAATCAACTTTACGCGTCCAAGTCTGGCACGCACTCTCTCTAGGTCAAGATTGGCACGAAATCCGATTTCTTTAATAAAGCACTCCTCATAACCATTCCCAAACACACCCTTGCAAAATCAATTAACCACAATTTCCCCCCAAGATTATGTGCATACTATGAAATAAGTTCATGCATTATAAACATCAATTTAACATAATCAATACTCTCCATACAAACTTGGAATGCTTGATCTCAAAATAGAACATCTCATCAACTTCAACTCTAGATATCAAAATAACAACTTTAACATATAAACATGCTTCCATAACAATAATTTAGCATTTCAATTAGACACATACATAAACATGATATTTTCCTAAGACATACATACATCATCTTAAGTCCCAAGAATCATCATTTTATGCAAGTAAAACATGGAATCAAAGGGATACAATTCAAAAAGGGGCTAAAGCATGGTGAATTAGACACTCCTACCTCAAATGATGCAACCCAAAGCCTTAGATCCCAAGCTTGAAATTCACCAAATGCATGCAAGATCAGTATAGAAATGTAGCTCTTGAAGAGTATAACAACTTTGTCTCTTAGGCCTTCTCTCAAATCTCACCCAAAGGTTTCCAAAATGTGGAGTGAAACTTTGATGAATATAGAGATAGAGAGAGAAACAGTGAAGATAAAGAAAGAAAGATATAGCCGAAAATGAATGAGGAAGAAGGGTTGGTTAGCAATTCAATTAAAGTCATGTGGCCCTCATGCTTTCACATGTCAAGTGGTGATCCCTACTTGGTGTCAAAACCCCAAAATACCCTCCTTCCATCTACTAACTACCAACAAGCCACAAAATATCACCATCCACTAACCTCCACACACACACACACACACACACACACACACAACACACCATCTCATAAATAAATAGATGCATGATAATGGAAAAAAAAATTACCAGGACCCATACGGTGCGCAAAACGATGTACGAAAAAATAAATAAAAATAGATACTGAAAATTTTGAAAAAAAACAATCTTGGACACTACATGCCACCACTTCCACCACTTCATACTTAGAAACTCAACCAATTCATACTTAATCGCACACTACACCCCAACATTCGTACATGATAAAACCTAATTGAAACCCCCTGCCCCCCCCCCCCCCCCCCACACCCACACACACACACACACACACACACACACCAACTCACTGCCACCACCCCACTTCTTCCATAACCATCACCGTCATCCCAACATCCATTCATGATAAAACCAATAAAAAATGACTTCTCTTTCTTCGTCCTCATCACGTTAATTGTAGTACTCACAACTTTGTAAGTTGACTTAATGATGACTTCACATGTGGACAATCATGGTCAGCAGACGAGCGATCCTTATTACACACCGATCACAGGGGTTAATAAAAGAACTAACAGAGGATTGTAAGAAATCAGAATTGAAATAAGTAGAGGAGCAAGTGGATGGCGAAGTGGGGAGCTTGGATGGGGAGAGTTGTTGAAAATAAATCAGAGATTGGTGTCACAGGTGTTAGAGATAGGGATTATATTTCAGTCGAACATGATGATAAGGAAGAAAAGGTGAGGTGTTTGGGTCTTTGAAATTAAGTTTTTTTTGGAGAATTAGGCTAGGGAGCTTCAATGTTCACAATAAGGGGCATTAGAGGTAAAAAAAAAAAAAAAAAAAAAGAAAAAAAAAAAAAAGGAGGCATTAGAGTCTACACTCAATTTTTGTGTCTTGAAAATTAAAGAACAAAATGTGGAACAAATCAATTTTATTGATTTTATAAAAGTTAAATTTGTATAATACACTGTATATATTTATAGAAAAAAAGTATTATCTGATTCGATCTCCTTTGTTGGTTGAATTTAAGGGCTGCAAAAGCTTGATCTTAAATGAAGTTATTGAGAGTCTTCTTCAAGTAGTTGTTTTTGAAGAAAACCATAAAGAGTTTCTAACTGAAAACTGAAACAGCTTGATTTCGAACAATTTTGTTTAGTGATTCTTTAAACTTGTTGACTCTTGAGGAAGAACGACACGACTTTTAATGTGATTGATCTTCCTTGTCTTTAGAGCTTAAGCATTGAGAAAATGTTGAGTCTGTCAGAGTTTCAATACTCTCCAAGTCTTGTTGTTCTCTATTCTCTCCCCGTGTCCCTATTTATAGACTTAATGGGTGAATGAGACGATGACAAGTGTCATCTCTTGATAATTACACAACTATAATATTTTATTATTATTATATTTGTGATAATTATTCTATCCCTAATTATAATTAGGAATAATTGCCTCATTTTTTAAAAAGACCCAATCCGAAGTGGGTTTGGACTATTCAACAATTGGAGTTGACCCATGAAAGTGAAACTGTGCTAATTGGACAATTTAAATTAATCTACGGCCCATGTCATGTGATGAGTCTAATTTGTCAAGGCAAAGGCCCACAAAATTTTAACGTATACTCTTGTGTTTTTAGGGCATTATGGTCATTGAATTTATTTATGTATGTCACTTGATAGTCACGTGGCTGTTTGAGGTAAAATTTGACAAGAAGCTTGCGGGAAGGAGCATTTTGCAATAAAATATAATAGTTCAAGGGTTTTTCTTCTTCTTTTTTTTCGCAAAATTTGTAATTCAGGGAGATATTTTGAAGGTTAGGCAATAGTTCAGGGTTTTTTTTCATCCTTTACCCTAATATGTGTTTGTGTGTGTGTGAATAAAATATTAATATGTTGTAGCAGAATTACAATAATAATTAACATTTTTTAATTACTATATTTGAATTTTTAAAAAGAAGACTAAAAAAAGGTTTAAGGGGGCCACAAGTTTTTATTTATTTTTAATTATTTTACAATAAAGGGGGAGGGCTCCCTGTGTCTAAAATAGTTCGGTACTTTGAAAATTGTGACTCACAAATTTTGTGTTATTTGTAGTTTGTATTGCATATGGAGTTTTATGAATCTGCAACTGATATGGGTTATTTGAACGTAGTTCGACGTCAGACAATTATTTGATCGAATTACCATTTTAGTCCTTCCACATTGAATGATTTTTTTTAACTTTTTTTTTTTAAAAAATTCAATTATATAAAGGCAGATTAGTCTTTTCATCGGTCCATTATTCGTAACTAAAATGAATGTTAGGGGATGTTATGAACCTATAGGGGGTTATATACTATATATGCATACTATATGGTATTTTCTGCACGTGACCATTATTAAAAGAAGACTAAAAAAAGGTTTGAAGGGGCCAAGAGTTTTTTTTTTTTTTTTTTTAACTTACAAATTGCTTTTTATAACCATATATATATATATTATAAAATTGTGGGGAGAGGGGAGATGGCTCCCTCTCTCTGTCCGTAGGATTGCAAATGAGTCGAGCCGAGTTTAAGTTTGTTATGACTTGACTCGTTTATTTATAGGGCAACTCGAGCTCATGAACATGATAAACTCAAAAAGTTGAGTTCATGCTTGGCTCATTATTATTTTGAGAAGTTCGAGTTCGACTCATATAATAACACAAGTTGTTCGAAATTGATTTGAGCAGATGTTCAAAATCACTTTTACTCATTCGTAAATCACTTTTAATCATTCATAAACTTATATGAACCTACACAAACTTAGGGGTACAACTTCGTTGCGCTAATTGGAACTCAACTCAAGTCTAGTTCAATTTTTTATAGGCTTGCACAACTATTTTTACAGTTAAGATTGGGTCTGGGTTAAAAAATATGAACTTGAACTTAATTAGGATTGAGCTTGGGTTGAGGTGCTATCAACGTGAATCCGAGTTCTTATATTATTTTATATATTATTATTTTAAATACATTATTTATGATATTCAAATTATGATGACCTTTTTCTTTTTAACTTTTTTAATTATTTAAATCTAAACCACTCTGAATATTTAATTTCTTAAGAATTTGTTTGTAATTTATTTAAAATTTGTAATAAATTTTTAGAAAATATTCGTGCTTAGGGGTAACTTCATCTTTAACTAATTCAAGATTACATTAATTTTTTAGTGTGCATATTGGTCATATGGATAACTGACCCGACTTTCTATCCCAGCGTCTCGGCTTGAGTTGCAAATTCAAGATTAAAAATATAAAGATGGGTTGGGCTCGGGTTGATGGTTGAGTTATAGTTGAATATTTCATATGTCGGGTTGACTAGAGCCATATCTCCAACCCGTCCAAGTTGCAACCCTAAGAAATGTATGTTCATAGACATCATCATAAGTTTACGTTCATAAACCTATATAAGGATATGTTTATGAACGCGTTCATTAACCTATGCGAGTTTGTGTTCATGATCGTGTTTGAGTATATACAAAGCTTATGTTACGTAAATCTAGATGAGTTGAGTTTAACATTGTTCACGATCAGTTCATTTACTAAACGAATTTAGAAATCGAGCTCAAATTCAACTTGTTTACTTAATGAATGAGCTCGAATAAAACCCTACGCGAGCCGAACTCGAGTTATTCATGAATAATTTGGTTGATTTGGGGTTGAGAAAGACTATGCATTTGTTCCAACTTTTTGTAAAAATAAAAAATTTGAAAATTAGGCTAAAAACTTTGCGCTGGCTAAAAGCTTTTTGCACATCAACCAATAGCTTGTCGCCACGTTACAGTTTCACTAAACCGAGTCTTACTTGATTGAAACTTTAGATGAAAAAACCATATATGTTCTCTTCTCAAACCCTAATTACTCCTACCCATCTGGCCTCAGTCTCAAGTTCGTCCTTCTCGCCCAGTGGCCCTTAGATCGCCGAAAATGGTGAGATTCAACAAAAGCCTTTCATTAAACTCTCTCTCTATGTATATGTATATATATTTATGCGTGTATGCAATTTATGTTTGTACTTCTTTTTGAATGAGTTTGGTTGCTTGTAGCCGTTCAAGAGGTACGTGGAGATCGGCAGGGTCGCTCTCGTCAACTATGGAAAGGAATATGGAAGGCTCGTTGTGATCGTCGATGTTATAGATCAAAACAGAGTACGTATTTTTGTGTAGGCATTTTGTGTATTTGCCATTTATTGTTTTATTTGTGTATTTAAATTTGTGTCATGGATTTCATTTGTTGTGCCTTGCAATATATTGTTGGGATTGAAGTATAAAATTGTACGTTAGTAAAATATAAAATCAGTGACAAACTAATATTGATTTAAAGAGAGAAGAAACTCTGCCTGTATATACTGAATTTAAAGAGAGTAAATAAACTCTGGCTTTTATAACAGAGAGGGCAGGACACACAGTCGTGCATTGTCCTAAATCCTTTTTAGCTTTCCTACGTGCTGGTTATTATGGACTGTAAAAGGTTACGAGATGCAACACCAAGAGGTGGTTCAACTTGGAGGTCTGATTATGATCGGGCGTGGGAGGCACTTGGTCCTCAAGATTTTCAAGTCCCGCCAGGGGCGCACTATACATTGGGTAATGTGCTGCGGTGCTCTCCCAGCCGCTGCCGCTGGACCCTAACTCTAGATGAGCTGTTTATAGGAATACCATCATCAAGTTTAATATCCTAAAATTGAATCTAAAAACAAAGAAATATATTGTAGGAAGAAATAAATTGCAGAAAAAGTTAAGGAGAGTATGTAGTTTTAGGAAAAATGACAACTTGATAGAGTGATACTGATCGCCTTTTTATACTCCTCCACCTCTCTTAGTGATGAGGTTTTAAGCATTACAGGCATCTTTTTCAGACTTTTTGAATGTTCTAATTATGACCGTTAGGATGTGTCCTTAATATGAATTATATTAATTTAAGAAGAGTATTTAAATACAATTATATTTCTCGTACAAAATCTAGGGAACAGTTTTCATTTTTAAAACTCTAAGAATGTTACAATCCCGCGTGAGTTTTTAATATTTTGAAGGATTATATAAATATATACAAGTATATAAGAAATAGAATATTTAGGGTTACTGGAATACTATGCAATGGGGTATTGTTAGAGTTTTTGAAATGATTAGTTTTTAAAACTTCCTTTTGTACGAGAATATAATTGTATTTTAATAGAATTCATATTATTGAAATAAAGTAGAAAAAGGTTATCTATCAAAAAAAGAAATAAAGTAGAAAAGGTGAAAGCACGTATAAATATAGAATACAAATAAATATGGGTAGATGGTTACGTATATGAGCATGAGAGGAAGTATTACATGTGTGTGATTTGACTAGATGCATATGCAAGGCTTCGTTTGTTTGAGCATAATTTTTTTTTTTTCGAAAAATTGTTTTTTTATTTTTGGTGTTTGGTTGTCCTAAAGCAAGTAAAATATTTTAAAAAAATTTTCCTGATAAATTTTGGATAAATTATTTGAGTAATGCTCTTAAGAGGTCTCTCTCATGGGAAGAGTCACGAGCTCTCCTATTTTTTAATTTTTATCTTAGATGTATTAACTATTTTTTAACTTAGATGTATTAAATAATTGATTTGACTTTTCACACATCTCAAAAAACTGTTTCATCCAATGGTTAAATAGGGAATGGCTCTTCCCATGACTCCATGAGAGAGACCTCTTAGGAGCATTACTCAAATTATTTTACATTCCAGCTCGATCGCCCTCGCTCTCGTGTGGAAACTCTCCTCTCTCTTTATGCCATAGAAGTCTCTCTGATCTGAGTCTCTCTTCAGATTGCAGGACGAGTCTCTCTCCCTTCAATCCACAACTACTCTCTCTCTTTTCACACCACACATTGTCTCTTCACATTACTCTTATCTTTCTTCATACCATCGACCTTCGTCGTTGCAAACTATAGAAGAAAGTTTTGAATTTGAGCTTCATCCTCTTTAGAAACAGGTATGAAATGCGCTCTCTATCTACATTTTTAATTTTTCGATTTCATTTTAAAACCCGCAATGGCTTTGTTGTTGAGATCCAGATTTTCATCTCTATATCTATCTATATATATATACATTATACACTCATGCACACATAGATATAAAGATGAAATTTGTATACCTAAAAATGTATACCTAAATATATATATATATATATATATATATATATATATATATTTACGTATATTGTATACATGCTCAAATAGATATAGAGATGAAAATCTCTATATGTAAAAATGTATATGTGTATTGTATATTTACAGGTAAATCTGTATATTGTATGTATACACGTAAAAATATATACGTATTAGTATATATATTTTTATGTATGTTGTATACATGCACAGATAGATGTAGAGACGAAAATTTTTATGCGTAAAAATGTATGTTGTGTACATACACGTAAAAATGTGTATATATATATATTTTTACGTATATTGTATATATGCACATATAGATATATGTGTGTGTGTGTGTGTCTATATATATATATATATATATATACGTGCATAGATAAATATAGAGCTGAAAATTTGGATCTCAACAATAAAGCCCTAAGGGATTTTAAATGAAATCGAAAAATAAAAAAATGTAGATAGAGAGAGCAATTCATACTTGTTTATAAAGAAGATAAAGCTGAAGTTCAAAACTATCTTCTAGGGATTTACAACAACAAAGGTCAATGGTGCGAAGACAGAGAGAGTCATATGGTGTGAACTGTGAAGAGGAAGTGTTGTTGTGGATTGAAGATAGAGAGACTCGTCTGTGATTTGGGGAGAGAGACATCTATGGCGTAGAGAGAGAGAGAGAGAGAGAGAGAGACAAATAGATAGAGAGAGAGGAGGGTTTCTACGTGAGGGCGAGGGCAATGTTGATTGGGCTGGGATCGTAAACTGATTTACACAAATTTATCGTTAAGTTGTTTTTGTAAGATTCTAAAAATAATAATTTACCTAGTTTTAGGGCAACCAAAAAATAAAAAATAATTTTTTTGGAATTTTTTTTATGCTCAAACAAACGGAGCCTTAGTAAAAACAACTACTATTTTCTGCACCTGAGCAGTTTCTTTCAGAGCAGATTTTCCCAACTTCAAAATTTTTAAAAAATTCAAATCTCAACGAATTTAGTTCAAATAAAACCACAGACTCATTAATCAGTGTTTTATAAATTTCAATGGAAAATAACAAGTATGTTAAATCCAGTCCTAACCCCACAGTTTTCAGTTCAGCACTCATAATCAGTTCCAATTTCCACAATTCTCAAGTAATTTCCATTCCAATGAAGTATGACAAGCTAATTTCAAAATCCATTAGTAAAGAAACCTTCATGTAGAAATTTATATATATATATTTTAGCAGTTGAAATATTTTTTTTCCAAGAGTTAAAAATATTGGAAACCTTCTTCTTTTCTCTGTCTCTCTTTCTTTTTCTTATTCTGGCCGAGGACCCTATTGTTCCTCTTCCTTATTTGTACTACATATGTGTATTATATAATAGAGGAGACAAATGGCCTTAAGAGACACATGTATACACATACACAACACTTGTCTCGTAGTGTCACTCATGCACCATGCCTCTCACAAGTTGTTTATGCATGCTGTCATTGCTATAGAATTTTATATTTATATTTATAAAGCTTCCTTGAGAATCTTTGTTGTATTTAATTTAAAATATAATACACTGCTCTAGAAAACTCTAGTTTTTGATTCATCAAGTGCGTATAATATACAAGCAGCTGCCACATGTTTCTTTTCTCTAAGAAGCACCATACACATCCACACTTACAATCCTTATCACATGCACACAAGCACGTGTTGTGTACTAAGTGAACCTTTTGAATTAACACACACACATATATGTAGCATGTACACTAGTTAATTCTCCTGGAAGCTTCTTATATTACACTAATATATCTACATAATTCTTTTTAAAAATTCTGCTCATGCATCAACACACACATGGCAACATCACACGCATACACTTGTCACATGGGTTTTGTATCTTTCTTTAGGTGATGGCACATTTTTTCTCTTTATAACATTACACACACCATCACGTCATTCCACCAACACATGCATCTAGTCATATCACACACACATGTAATCCTTCCTCTCATGCTCCTATACGTACCCATATTTATATTCTATATTTATATGTGCTTTCACCTTTTCTGTTTTATTCCTTCAACCACCATTAAAATATTTTTCACATTTTACCCATGTCCTTTAACTCTATTATTTTATATTTTCTACCCACTCAGAATATTTTCCAATTTTATTGAATCCCTCAATTCTCTAACATTTCATTGTTTCAGCACCACTTCCAATCAAAAGAATTTTTTGCTAATTTCAGGATATTGCAACTAAAAGAGAATACAATTTTATGTAAATTCTATTCATATTACTAAAATATACACCCTACCTGTCATTATTATCAATTCGCTTCATTTTATCTTTTAGCTCTCTCTCAAGAGCTTTCTGTCTGGCTTCGCCCCTTCCCTTGCTTACCACTGCTCAACTAGGGAAGTGTCCCAGGCATGGGTTACATACAGATCCAGTCTATTATATAAGATAGTTGATCCCCTGCATCAGTTCCTGGTCAGGCTACAGCGAAAGAGTGATTGTGGGGTCAGTCCTTTAGCTGTACCAGCCATTCTCCCTGGCTTTTAAGATTTGGAAGTCATCGTGGATGGCACGAGTTAGAGGAGTAGAGTAGGGTAGACGTTGAAGGCTGTCTTTCGTATCTGAAGTAGTAGCCTTGCAACCTTGTTGTTTGGAGTGGGATGTTAGTACCTTCTTTAGTTGCTCCTCCCTTTTTCGGGTTGTCCAATTGGTAGAACTTTCCAATTCATGAGGAGACGTGAATGAATCTATGAAAAGGCAGGCTTTGATTAACGATGTGTATCAATCTATCAAGTTCTTTTCTTCTCTGCAACTACATATTCTCTGTAACCTTCTCTACAATTCATATGTTTCTTCCTATAATATATATTCTTTATTCTATACCTTCAATTTTTGGGCAATATGACATCAAAACTTGGTGATTGTTTTTTGTGAACATTCACCTAGAAGACATATGAATGGTATCTTAAAGTTGTATTATTGATCTATTGTTTTATAATCTTTTATTTATATTCTCTTATGAATAAGTAAGAGATATTCCTAAACTACATTGATCTGCTCATGATTACTAGAATAGAATTATAAATTAAATACCCCAATGGCAATCCCCAACATATTTAACTAATACTATATGTTTTGCATGTTGTCATCGAAAGCTCATTACAGCTAATGAGTTTTTTTTATTTATTGTGACATTAATGCTGGATGGCTTCATTGCAATTTTACCTAGTGTTTGGGGGTAGAGATATGTTAGCTGGAAGAGGGCTATTAGAGATTATTCAAGTCATCATCATGACAAATGAGTTGGGTTCATTTTTGAGATACCACTAACAGTGTTTAAATAAACGAGAGGGCAAGGGAAGGGAAGGGAATGATGTATGAGTTAAGAGAGAAAAGAAAGAATAGTGTTACTCTCCTCTTGTTTGGATAAACAGAGAACAAAATGGAAGGTCTTGTTTGGGAAAAAACTAATGGAGGGAAAAGAAAGGACGTGAATGTTTACTATGTGAGTGGAAAGGATTGAGCGAGAGTTCAATGAAAATTATGGATAAAATGGGTGAGGACTAACTTATCATTTTCTTTCATATCCTCCACTTTTGGAAGGAAGACAAAATGAGTGTTTCAGGGTTTAAAGACCTTTTCCTTTTAACTATCAGTTTTTAACCAATCATAACGTTTCCATCCTATTAATTTTTTTTTCCTCTACTAACTCATTTAATCCAGGGCAACATTTGTTTCAATGTTAAATGTTTTACATTAGAAAATATTTTTCATATACATGTTAAATGTTTGCAATGGAAAAAAACATTTTCCTTCTTATTTTCCGGTGTTTGGCTGAAAATTTGGAAATAGTTTTTGTTAAATTTAAAAAAAACTCACAATAGACTCTTGAAAAGCATGTGTATATAAATGCAAATATTAGCATTTTATAATTATATATATATTAGCATATGTATAGGAACAGGACATTATGCATAAGAGTATGGACAAAAACATGCACACAAGTGCATATATATGAACTTATATTTACATGTACATAAATTTGCTTTTATTTGTGTATAGATGTGTATATATGTTCAATGCTTGTATAATTTCTAATTTCATTCTTTCAGAGAACCAAACATTACAATGTTGTGCACACTGTCAGTCAGTATACTAATATTTTGGGATGGCTTCTTGATGGCACTTTGTATATCATTCTTTGATCCGTCTTAAGACAATTAATATTGCATAGCACCCGCATTGTTGATTGAGATTACATAGGTTGTGAGAGTGCTGTTTACTGCCTCCCAGAGTATTCATACAAATTGGATATTGATCTTATTGAGCTCCTTGTCAATCGACAGGCCCTTGTTGATGCCCCGGATATGGTGCGGACCCAAATGAATTTCAAGAGGCTTTCACTCACAGATATCAAGATCGACATCAAAAGGGTTCCAAAGAAGAAGACTCTGATTGCAGCCATGGAGGCTGCTGGTGAGTATCGAGTCAATAAACTTGCTCTTTTCCTATTCCTATTGTAATCAACATGTTCGCGAAATTGAACTGCCATTCCGCGCTGGCAGATGTGAAGAACAAATGGGAGAACAGTTCCTGGGGCAGGAAGCTAATTGTGCAGAAGAGAAGGGCCTCACTCAACGATTTTGATAGGTTCAAGCTTATGTTGGCAAAAATTAAGGTTTGTAATAATTACAAACTTGAGTCTTCATTATCTTCTTAGTTGTTTTCTTTCTATATATTTGACTTCACAGACAGTTGTTCTTTTACACCACCAATCTAATAATGTGTTCCTCAAATGTGACTTTGCAGAAGGCTGGTGTCATTAGGCAGGAGCTTGGAAAGCTTAAAAAGGAGACCAAAGCCTAAAATATATTGTCTTAGTGTGTGTGTTAAATCTTTACCAAGAAGTTACATGCGTTCTTGCCTTTTGGGTTTATTTTCATTAATTTACTAGAAGATATACTTAAATTTTTATTATTTTATTTTATTTGCTTCTCAGACCCCGTTCAAACTATATTATTAATATATTGGGCCTTGTTTAATGCATGACCTTCCAGCGGGCATTGGTAGGCCCATGGTGGTTGTCTGACAAGCCTGATATAATTGTGAGGTTCTGTGTAATGTTTATGATTTTGGTCATTTTTTATTTTCTGGAATTTTCTAGTTTTTTGAGGGTATTTTTGTCCTTTTGCATTTTGCGTGCCGACATCGTGAAATGTGTCTGGTGTGTTTGAGAGCTAGTTGGGACATTTCCTTGAGTCCAGAACTCTTGGAAATGTATTGGTTGTCATTTTGACAAATTTTTTTTTCGTTTTTTTGGCTTGGACGTACTACCGGGTCGTTATGTCACGGATCTACAGTATATTATGAATTGTTATTTTGTGTATAAATTAATTGCTTGAATGTTCGTGGTAATTTAATTGAGATATAATTATATATTAATAAGGTTAGTATAAGGTTAGATTTTCATTAAGCTTATGGGACCCACGTGTTATAACATCAATGACTTTAAGTCGTCACAGAACCCATTTCTCACCCTCATTATTGGTCAGTCTCTCTCTTCATCACTGTAACTCTTTTTTTTCTTTCTTTTCTCAACAATTCGAGGCTTGATTTAGCCTTGTTCATTGAGAATTTGATCTTGGCACTTAAGGCAATGTTGAAAAAATAGTAAAAATTGATTGATAAAGTTCCTATTTAAGTTGGGTAAGTTTACCTTTTGTTTGAGCAATTCCTATTTCTTTTTATTTTATCTTGAGAAATGTAAATTTTAATATGAAAATTGTTGTTATTATGAAAGCCTTTTAAGTGTGAAAGTATAATTTATATAAACTTTATGTTAAAGGGACTGATTTATTTTGTTGTATGAAGATTGTGTTAATGTTTAATTGAGGGTATGTTATTGTGTATATAATTTTATGTTGAGCATGCTCGGGGTTTCTTGTATATGTCTTACTTGAGATGATGATGTTGTTATTATATTGAATTTTTTAAACATGCTATGATCTTAATTGACTTTGTGTCTCATCCACGTGGTAAGCAGCCTTACTTGACTTTGTGTCTCCATGCACGTGGTAAGCAACCCTAAATTAATCACTATAAATCAATATGACATGAAATTTTGAACAAAATCAAAGATGGCAGTTTTTCAAAAGGATTACATTTTCATTATTCTTATTTTCTCTTCACTTCCATCCACAATCATATAATCAGGAAGGACAGAAGCATAAGTTCTTCTAAAATGGAAGAATAGCTTGTTGTTTTCTAATAATTTCGTTATTTCATGGTCTGTCATTGACCTAAAAAATCACTGCAACTGGACTGAATCATTGCAATTGGACTGACATTGTCTGTCACAGTGCTGAAACTGTATCCGAGATTAACTTGTTCGATTCAAATTTGAATGGAACACTTACCCAATTCAATTTAACTTCATTTCCATATCTCACCCATTTCAACCTCAGTAGCAACCAACTCAATGGGCCAATTCCATTTACAATTGGAAATCTCTCCACGCTCGTTGTTTTGGACTTGAGTCACAATAATTTTGAGGGCATCATACCTTCAGAGATTGGGTGGTTGACAGAGCTTGGGCATCTTAGCTTCTTCAACAACCGTCTGAGTGGTACAATTCCATATCAGGTTAGCAATCTTTAGAAGCTATGGTACTTGGACCTTGGATTTAACCATTTAGAAACTCAATATTGGTCAAAATTCTCAGGCATGCCTATGTTGACTCATCTTTACTTTAATTCCAATCAACTTACCTTTGAATTTCCAGATTTCATACTCCATTGCCCCAACCTCACTTTTCTTTCTTTGTCAAGGAACCATCTCACTGGCGTAATATTGAGTTGTTATTCACCAATCTTGCCAAGTTTGAATATCTTTATCTCTACAATAATTCATTTCAAGGGTTATTGTCATCAAATATTTCAAAGCTTTTGAAGCTCAAATATCTTAGTTTGCGTTACAACTAGTTTGTCGGTTCAATTCCTGAGGAGATTGGATTACTTTCTGATCTTCAATCCATTTTACTGTTTAACAATTCATTCCAAGAAAAGATTCCTTCTTCTATAGGCCAACTCACTGAGCTCACATACCTTGATTTGTCATGGAACGATTTCACTGGTCTAATACCTGAGTTGGTATTCACCAATCTTACCAAGCTTGAATATCTTTATCTCAACAATAATTCATTTCAAGGGTTATTGTCATCAAATATTTCAAAGCTTTCGAAGCTCAAAGTTCTTAGTCTGGATCACAACCAGTTTGTCGGCTCAATTCCTGAGGAGATTGGATTACTTTTAGATCTTCAAATCATTGCACGGTCTAACAATTCATTCCAAGGAAAGATTCCTTCTTCCATAGGCCAACTCAGAAAGCTTCAAACACTTCTTCTACAAATGAATGACTTGAATTCTACAATTCCTTCTCAGCACTGAGCTCACATACTTGGACCTTTCTATGAATTCACTTACCGGACCCTTGCCTTTGTCCCTGTCTAATCTGTCCAAGATATTTCACTTTTCTATATCCAATAATTTTCTTTCCGGTGAGATCTCACCTTATCTTGTCACCAATTGGACTGACTTGCAAGAATTACAACTTCAAAACAATTCTTTCACTGGTAAAATTCCACCTGACATTGGCCTATTGACAAACCTTACATTCATTTACTTGCACAATAACCAACTCTGTGGCTTGATCCCACCTGAAATTGGCCTATTGACAAAGCTCAGATACATTTACTTGCACAATAATCAACTCTCTGGCCCGATCCCACCTGAGATTGGAGTCCTGAAAGAATTGCAGTATTTGGACCTTTCGGCAAACCAACTCTTAGGTCCAATTCCTCCAACAATTTGGAATCTCAGAAACCTCGGTTCCTTGAACCTCTTTGACAACTGTCTTAATGGAACAATTCCACCTCAAATTGGGAATTTGAAACTACTGTTTGCTTTTGATCTGAGCAAAAACCAATTCAATGGTGAAATCCCAGCTCAGCTAGGTCGCTTGACTCAATTGATGTATCTAAGCCTTGAATCAAATGAATTCACGGGTGAAATACCACCTACCATTTGCAACTTGAGTTTCCTTCAGGTTCTTAATCTTTTTAATAACAGCTTGGTTAATGTCATTCCACAATGTCTGGGAAACTTTAACGATGAACTCTCTGTGCTAGATCTGCGAATGAATTGCTTTCATGGGGCTGTTCCAGCAATATTCACAAAGTGCAATAATTTGAGAAATCTGGGCTTGGGTGGAAATCACTTGGAAGGGCGGGTGCCGAGAAGTTTGGTCAATTGTAGACAGTTGGAAGTCGTTGATCTGGCCAACAACAACGTAAGCGACACATTCCCCCATTGGATGGATGATCTTCCAGAGCTTCAGGTTCTTGTCCTGCGATCTAACAGATTTGGAGGCACAATAGATACTTCCATTCTACTGTAGTAATTCTGGGCTTCAGATATATACTACTTAGTTGTTTTATGCTGCTTTCTAAATTACTAATAGTAGTTTGTATTTTAATCAAGTTTTATGCCAGAATATTAAAAAAAGAAGTTCAAGGGACAAGTTTAAGAAATGTTACTCCATAATAATTGTGGAATATTTGGAAATATTTTAATCCTTCAATAAGTCTATAGCATGTTTTGAACCTTAATCTATTTTTCTTGCTATAAAATTTCACTTTTATTATGAAAATTATATATATATATATATATATATACTTGAAAAAATAGTAAAAATTAATTGATTAAGTTCCTATTTAAGATGGATAAGATTGATTGAGACTCACACATGAAGCTTGACTTGGCACATGTGAATGTAAAAAAAAAAAAAAAAAAAAAAAAAAAAAAAAAAAACATTTTTGGACCGACTTTTTATCTTCAAAAATAAAGTTTAGTCCAATGAACAATAAGAACCACATATTAATACACTGAGACTCACATACGAGGCAGACATTGGATTCTACTTTAAGTGGCTCCAATTTGAGCCAAAAACATTGAATGATATAAATGCATGCAGACATATAGCCCACGTAGCAAGTGTCATCCTCAAGTCAACCCACTGTCAGTCAGTCAACATTTGCAATGATTCACCTCCCCAAGTTGGAAATTTCTTTAGTAGGTACATAAAGGCGCGTGTATATATATATATTTTTGGGACAATACTTTGGTTCACACATTAGCTCCTTGTATCATGTAAAAGGTGATCTCGAACTCTACTGACTTGCGCAATTACAAAGTAATGATAATACAAACTTTTCACAAACAATATTATCTTATAGAGGCATGCAAAATTTTTACGAAATTACACTAAGGCACACAAGTGTGTTCAAAGAGAGATGTTGAGTGTAGTGGCGAGTAATCAGAGTCTTTGTATTTGTGAGTCGTGTATGAAATTGGGAGTGCCAACTAAATCAAGTCGCATTGAGTGTATTTTTTGAATTTCTAATCGTACCTATTTATCTAGTCAATTACTCTTATGGGGGTTTTATCCATCAAATATAGTGAATAAGTTCAAGTGTGAGTTTTATTCATTACATCAAATGGATAATATACAAATAGGTCACGAAATTCGATTTGGGAATCATTTGCCTTTTTCATTATGTTCAGTCCACTCACCAAAATTCGATTTGGGAATCATTTGCCTTTTTCATTTGCCTTTTTCATAAGAACAGATGACAGAGCTCGCACGCTGGATATAGCACTCACATTCATCACTTATGCAACAGGAGGAATTCCACATATATTCGAACGGTAGAAGTGGAGAAAAATAAACAAGCACCTATGTGTTTCTTTTTGTCCGCTTATAAGAAGGAAAGAATCATGCGGACATGTACTATTATAATTTTTTTTTAATTTTATAAACTCTATATACTTTTAATAGTATTATATCTTTAATGCAGTGGTAATCATATTATTTTACTCCATAATTGTATTCTTCATTGTTTAAATTTTTAATTCAATTAAATGAAATTATTTTTTATCAGATAAAATAAAACAAAAAAATAAAAACTGATTTGAAATGTTTGATTAAAC